TTATCTAAGTAGATTTCAAGACAAAAATAATGATGAGGTGTGGACAGCTTTAAAACGACTATTGAGATACTTGAAGGGGACGATTAATACAGTTTTGAAGTTTGAAAGAAAGGATGGGTCAACTCTGTTTGTTTGCTTTGTAGATTCTGATTGAATGATAGGAAGTCGATTTCAGGATATTTAATACAGATATTTGGTAATACTATAACTTGGGTATCTCGTAAACAAAATTGTGTAGCTCTCTCTAGTTCAGAGGCTGAGTTAGTTGCCTTGTATACAGCAGTACAAGATTGTTTATGGTTTAGGAAATTGATGATTGACATGAAATTAAATTTTAAAACATTCAAACTTTTTGAGGATAATCAGGGTTGTATTGCTTTAATCAAAAATCCTGAAAATAACAAGAGAGTTAAACACATTGATCTAAAATATAATTTTGTTTGTGAAGCTTTAAATTCTAAGATAATGACATCAGTGGCGTAACTACAGGGGGGCCTGGGGGGGCCGGGCCCCCCCCCAGACGTCGCTAGCCCCCCCCCCCAGAAAAAAATTTAATAATTTGGTATTTTATGAAAGGCACGTTACCTATTATAATTTTATGTTATTACCTACCTACTAAATTTGAACGGTAATGCGCGGCGATCCCAATCGACCCTATCCGATCCTCCGATCCACCAACAAACGGTCTGTGTGAAATTATGCCACCCAAATGTCAGTGCAAATTGCAATATGCAGAAGTGATACAGTATACCAAAGCCATTAAATTAGCATTAGCAATATAACAGATTAGTTTGGGAGTTTGACAAAATATTTTTCCTGTGAATCCGTGAATCGGTGTTGCTGATATATACTTTACAGTGGCTGATGAGCTGGGTTAGCTAGGTAAGTGATTTAAGCCTGGTTTAGTCAGCTAATCGCCTATAATTGCACTGTTCTACTTTTTTGAAGATTTCAGTAAGTCGCAATAACAGGCCCTAGGCTACTGGCCCCAACTACAAGGGAGCATTGGGGTAGGTGCTCCCATGAGCAACCTCTCATGGGTGCTCGGGGCTCTCGTAGAGAATGCGAAAGTACAAACGTATTTAATGGTCGTTCCGTTCCGTATGGTAGTATCAGTATCATGTATGTAATTTAAATTTACACAACTTTGTATAAGAATTATACAAGTCGTATTAGTCTTAGATTAGGCAGATATTAGTATTCTATCCTTTCGTTATTTGTGGTCAGTTCTATGCTCTATTACTTTATATTGCTAATGTTGCTATTCTCCATCTTTATTCTTTGATAATAATCGGGACATAAGGCATTTTAGGACATAAAACTACCAGGCATAATAGGAATGTTCACAAAATCAAAAAATCCTGTTTAACAATCATTAAATTATTAAACATCGTTTCATAAGTGAATCTACAAAATTTTTCGAAAATTAGAAAATTCTTTCTTTGAGAAAAACAGAGACGAAATATTACTATTCGTTCAAACGCACGAAACTCTCTCTGACGTCACAATGCGTAACGAGTTAGCGCGCGCATGTACAGTAGCGCTACTAGCGATTTGCGTACGGAAAATACCACTTTTCCGCACCTCGTAGCAAAACACGTACGTAGGTACCACTTTTTTCGACTCGGTTTAACTTTGTTTGAGTCTCCCATCACTACACAAACACAGATAATTAGAGTGAATGAAGCTTTTCGAGATAAAGCAACATTCAGCAACATAATAAATTCAATGTAAAATTGTAAACAAATCTCGCAAACGCGCCAACTGATTGTTCGTTCCGCACAGTGACGTCACAAGCGCTACTCTCGCCGCAGGGGGTCGTTTTGCTAGCCTCGCTAATTTCGTTTTTTGGTCTCGATTTATCAGAAAAAATAAAGGGTTTCTAGATGTTTTAACGCTTAATACGTGTTTTGTGGACCTAGAACCACCACTTTTTATTACAATTAAAAACTAGTGAACATTCCTATTATTTTGATAATGATGTGATATTTTAATGGCCTAAAATGCGTGCAGAAAAAAGCACTTTTCGCACGCCCGTAGAAAAAAAAATAGAAAAATATATACTACTATACTATAAAATAGACGTTTTTAGGCGTGGCATCCGGAAAAAAAATTTCGCCCACGGCGAGCTTCCCCCTCCCCCTATAAACAAATTTATAAAAATATTATCCTGCACCTATGAGGACTTTCAAAAATCGGCGCCAATGCCAGGCCCACCCTAGGCCCCCCCCAGATTAGATGGCTAGTTACGCCAGTGAATGACATTGGAGTATATTGGTACAAAACTTCAATTGGCAAATGTATTGACAAAGGGCCTTCACAAAACTCAGTTTTACTTAAATTGCAATAAGATAGGGTTACAAATCAGAGAGGGATAGAATTTAGAATTTAGTATTTCTTTTTAAGTTTATTTTGACTGTTGTATATTTTTTATTATAGAGCTCAAGCAAAGCATTAAGAGAGGGTGTTGTGAAATTATAATTATTTATACACCAAGTGAGTTAAATGAATGTTTATTCATGAAAAGAAAGTTTAACCCACGAGCCCTAGCGAGTGGGTTAATTTTCTTCGAATGAATAAACATTTTAACTCACGTGATGTATACAAAATTTTATCCCATTTTGTGGAAATTTAGAAAATAAAATACAAGTAAAAATGCCGGGAGTGAGTTAAAAATATTTTAAATCACTGAGGTTTCAGATTTTTGGTTGGGCTGAGTGACTTGAAATGCCGAGAGTGAGTTAAAATGTTTTTAAATCACTGAGGTGATAAACGTCTACTTACCTGCATTGTTATGCGTCCAATAATGTCATTTTTAAACGTCAAAATGGGATAAAATATTTTTTTTACTACTAACCTGAGAAATAGTCATTATTCAATCTATTTTTTTAGGAAAAAATTGAATTTCTCTCCCTAGGTTAATAATGAAAATAATGAAAAAATACCTAGGTCAATAATGAAAATGACGTCATGATGCAAGGATATTGTCATGTTTCTATTGGTCCAATTTCAATTTCATACGTCAATTCAAAAAAAATACAGGTTTCTGTAGGTACATTTAGGAAGTTATCACTTTCAAAAGGGCGTTCAAAAAAATAATTAAGAGCACAGATTTTGAATATTTTTTTTATTTTCTACTAGTAGAAGTAAAAAAAATTCTATATATTCCTCGGTAGAGAAAGTCATTATATACCTTACACATTATAAACCTCGGCGCTCCGCGCCTCGGTTTATAAAAGCGCTCGGTATATAATGACCAACTTCTCTACCTAGGTATATAATATACTATTATCCCATTTTGACGTTTAAAAATAACATTATTGAACGCATAATAACAAAGGTAAGTTGACGTTTATCACCTGAGTGACTTAAAATATTTTTAACTCACTCTCGGTCTTTTAAGTCACTCTGCCAGTATAAAAATCCGCTACAAATACAAACAAACAACTAGTTATACCTTAGCAACTACCAATTTCAATAATTAGCGCTTTCATAGCTACTAAATGAATTCTTTTTATAATTTGATTCCTTACTTTTTAAATGTCCATCAAAATAGGATAAAATTTTGTATAAATCACGTGAGTTAAAATGTTTATTCATTCGAAGAAAATCAACCCACTTGCTAGGGCTCGTGGGTTAAACTTTCTTCTCATGAATAAACATTCATTTAACTCACTTGGTGTATAAGTAACTATTATAATGCTTTTCTTGATATCTGCCGAGAAGTTTGTTAGTTTGTATCATGTTTGTATCAATTTGTATCACTAGGGTTTCCGAAATTGTGTTTTCTGAAACAATAGACAGGGCACTAGTCTTCAGAGGTAGATTGTCTAAGAATTGTCAATTTGTCAATATAATTGTAATAATTATTAATAAAAAGTCCATGTTATAAAGAATGCTGAATGATTATTTGAAGAAGTAATAGTAATTATTGCTGAAATCACAACAGTTTCCTTTTTTCTAATTAATTTACAAGTTTTGATTGTTATTTCTATAATTATTTCCAAGAAAAATTTGCTCGATTGATAATAGATCCTACAAATTTATTTCCAAATATCCAAATGATTAAACTACCTACATGAAAAACGCATTTGGGATTCAATCGAGCCAGAGCGATTACGAAACCAAATTGAATTAATTTTTCAAATTGGAAAAATTGTTTTGGCTCAAAAACAAAGCTTCAATTATTCAATTCATGAATATGCTACTTAGTGCAGATCAGTTTTGGAACTCATTAAATTTAAGTTGAAGGTTTTTATGTAAAATTGAAGACCCTTTTTCCCCGAATCCATTTAGAAGCTCCGAGAAGGAAAGACTTCATTATATAAGTTGTACATTTATTTAACAAAATTACTGCCTTTATGCCTACGCTTTGGAATTAATGGAGCGTTTTGTTAATTCAGTTTTACATAATCTCAGTTTTAGATTCGTTAACAATGATTTTATAAAAAGGTTCTGTAATATAATGGAAAAAAAAATTGCTTGTTTATGCCAGAAAAAATAATATTTCACACACTAGTAAAACTCTTAAATTTAACAGCATAAACCTCTTTGTCGTTAAACTCTGAAACTTATTTAGGTTAACGGGAAGTTAAACTTCCAGTTAATTAGAAACTTCTAAGACCTGCTTAGTTTTATAGGATTTAGACCACAAGTTTCAACCTTTGTCAACTCTGATAGTTATTTATTTCCATCAAATTTCAGTGGGATTTATTCGCAAAATGGAAACTCATTTCGATATTTATCTTTTGGTTATTTCCAGACACTAATTAAAAGCTCGTCAATGAGCGAAATACTCTGCCGGTTACTGGTTTGTTTTAATTGCGAAAGTTTTCAACGGATGAAAATTTAATTGAATACATTACGATTAGAAAAAAACATCAATCTACTTATCTTTGACTAGAATTTGACTCAGACATTAGATTTAAGAGAAATTCATTGCTCAGAAAACTTAATTTGACATGAATTTGCTTAAGAATAATTGACTCAGAAATTCTTACCGTTGTTGTTTCCGTTGAGAAGGGACGCGGCAGACGTGAGACCGACGCGCGTTCTTCGCAAAATCCACAACATGACGGACGTCGGGACGTTTCGAAACTGGGGAGGAAAAAGCGCTGCGACGTACCAACGACGTCCAGGTTCAAAGCGCCAAAAAGGTGCGTCGCGACGTCCTCCCTTATTCGGTTCAAGTTCTATTCATCTTCAGATAAGCTTGCTGGTAACTCTTTTCAAGATAAATTCACCGTTCTATAATTCTATTGGTCAACGGATAACTGGCGGCCCAATGGGATTACAGATTACGTTTCTATCTGTCTAATTGCATACCTAACAGTTTATCAGAAAGTGAATAAACCGGCCTCCAAGGTTCCCAAAATTCATAGGTTGCCTGGTAATGAGTAACCTGATGACGCATTTGGGGTGCCTTATTGAGATTTGCATTATATTGAGGCCCCCCCGATGACGTCATGAAATTATCAGGCAACTTGCCTCTCTCAAATAACGTTGACCGGCCTCTATTAGATCTACTTGAGGTACAAGTAGAAGTTTTTTAAAATTATACTTTGATTATCTAGTAAACTTGAAATTTACTTGATTTCATCAAGAATCAAGTACTTAATTTACTTCAAGTAAGGGGGGAAGGAGGGATTTGTTACACACAGGCCTTATGAAGATAAGCCATCCTGTACCTAGTACTTGTAGCGATAGTGTGTATCATCCTTGGGTCAAAATGGCGTTTTCTTTCAATTACGAACCCGAAGGGCGAGAGTGTTTTTAATCTTCAGCGCACAGGGCAACAAAAAAAACGCCATTTTGTATAGAATGTGAAGGAAAACAAGGCCTACTGTGAAATGTCAATTTTTTGACGTTTGTTGTACCTATCATAAGCAATGTGTCCATATGTTTTTTTCAAATCTCGAGCCCGAAGGGCCAAGGTTATACAAGCCCGAATGGCCGGAGCTATACGAGCCTGAAGGGCCAGGATTATTTTAATCATGAGTCCGAAGGGCCGAGGTTATACGAGCCCGGAGGACCGGAGTTATACGAGCCCATAGGGCCGGGATTTTATAAACATTCGTGCGTATTACCAGAAAAAAATTCTTGATCTATAAATGCGTGATTTGAAAAGACCCTGGGCCTACGGGGTCGTGATTTAAAATGACCCCGGCCCTTCGGGCTCGTGATTAGAAGAACTCCAGCACTACGAGCTCGTAATTTATAAAGTTTATGAAGACTCCGACTCTTGGGGCTTATGATTAAAAAAGACCCTGGCCCTGCGGGCTCGTAATTAAAAAAACCCTCACCCTACGGGTTTTGTGATTGAAATAAATCAAATAGGCTTTGGAAACATATATGTATCACGATGTTGGTATTACAGGGCGCCGAATTCAAATTTTGATATTTCCCAAAGCCTACTTTGTCGTTTGTCAAACAATGTTCCAATTACTCAATTACTAAGGATGATACGCACATACAAGGATTACTTATCGGCCTCATTTTTGGTAATCGCCGCCATATTGGTGTGTCGTACCATTTCCCACATCATAACTAAGTCGTCAGCTGTTTAAACAGCCTACGTCAAGGCGAAAAATAGCATGCTACTACGTCACAATAGGCCATTCTGTAGTACTTGTAGTAATACTGTATGTCATCCTTGGGTCGAAATGGCGTTTTTATTTTAATTACGAGCCCGAAGGGCGAGAGTGTTTTCAATTTTAAGCGCACAGGGCAACTAAAGAAACGCCATTTTGTATCGACTGTGAAGGAAAACAAGGCCTACTTTGAAACGTCAATTTTTTGACGTTTGTTGTGTCATAAGCAGTGTTGCCATATGTTTTTTTTCAATCTCGAGACCGGAGGGATGGGGTTATTCAAATTGCGAGCCCGAAGGGCCGAGGATATACGAGCTCGAAATGCCGAAGTTATACGAGCCCGAAGGGCCGGAGTTATACGAGCCTGAAGGGCCGGGATTATTTTAATCACTAGCCCGAAAGGCCAAGGTTATACGAGCCCGGAGGGCTGGAGTTATACGAGCCCATAGAGCCGGGATTTTATAAACATTCGTGCGTATATTACCAAACAAAAATCCTTGCCCTATAAATTCGTGATTTAAAAACACCCTGGCCCTACGGTCTCGTGATTTAAAATGTCCCCGGCTCGTAATTAGAAGAACCCCAGCACTACGAGCTCGTAATTTATAGAGTTTACAAAGACTCCGGCCCTTGGGGCTTATGATTAAAAAAGACCCCGGCCTTGCAGGCTCGTAATTAAAAAAACCCTCGCCCTATGGGTTTGTGCGATTGAAATAAGTCTCACCTACAGTGACTCTATTATTCACAGTGACAACAATTGTTGTCTTATTTTTGATTGGTTCTAAAATCCCATATATTTATAATGAAAATGCGGCTATTTTTTTGCCACCTATGGCTTATTTCAAATATGAATATATGGGATTTGGGTGAACTAGGGTTGCCACCTCTCCGGGTTTCACCCGGAGTCTACGGGTTCTCACATATGATCTTCGGGCTCCGGATTATTAGGTGTTTTCTCCGGGTAAAACAGCATTTAACAAAAAAAATGCATTTAACAAAACAAACGTAAAAATAATTCTTATGTCCAGGAAAAAAATGAGATTTAGCAACAGCGCAATACTGTTCTTGCTCACCCTCAAGGATTACTACTATAGGATTACTCATCAGCTTCGATTTTTGAAACCAATGTCATATATGGTGTTGCATCGTTGCCGACGTCATCAATAGTGTCGTTTACTGTTTGTGCCAGCGGTCGTAGTTTAAAATATACATTTATGATGAAAAATATTATTTAATTTTGAATAACATAAAAGGTAAAGCGGAAGATGCAAACGAGATCTGAAAAGGATTGTTTTAGAATGTTGTAGTGCGGCTAGAACAATCGTTAGTTAAGTCCTTGTTAGTTAACAAAAACCTCAGATTGTGTCAATGTTAATATGGGATTGTTTTTATGTGGCACAATCTGAAGTTGTTGTTTGCTAACAAGGACTTGACTAACGATTAATCTCGTCGCTATTGATGTACTAAAACCAAGTATGCATAAAGTAAAAGTCGGCGGAATCATAGCCTGTAGTGCAGTGGCGACGCCAGGGGGGGCCAGGGGGAGCCGGGCCCCCCCCTGAAATTTAGCTGGCCCCCCCTGAAAACTTGCCCTCATGTCGACAACAATGCAATGCAACATGAGTAACCTCTGCTCTCTGGTTAATTTGATATTTGGTGGGCGCCATCGCTTTTCTGGGATTCCCCCAAACATATTTGTGTCGGCAGGTACAGGGTTTTCTTGTGTATTTTTGGCACCTCACCTGAAGGCCGGTTTCTCAATAGCAAGCAAGTCACCCCCGGGTCAGAGCAGTTAACCATAACTCTAGGGTAAACATTGCAATTGGACACGTTTACCCTGGACTAGCTATCGAGAAACCGACCCTAAACGGTTAATTGAATAGGTATCAAGAAGATTTACCTATACAGGGTGTCCGTTTTTCGAGAGCAATCATTGGAATATAGGAAACGGTAAGAGATACAGGTTCGGTTAAATTGGGACAAAGTTGCGCAATTTCTTACTTAACAAAACGCTACTTCGAAATTTGGAAAATTCCGAATACTTCCGGAGATACATGGAAATCAAAATTTTGTAAAATCATTCCTATATTTTCCTGGACTCATTTGTGAAGGTATTTCAAATAAACTTCACTTTATTGGGGCAACTTTCTCCCCTCTACATAATGGTGTAACCAAATTTGAAATCCGACGTTTCGTCTTTTGCCGATCATCATCAACTTTATTTTTTTAAATAGAGGTTTGCATTTTTATGAATTGTATTCGGAGTTTCTTGATCTCCCATAAGCAGTAACACATTTGGCCATTGATTCCGATTTTGTATCTCTTACCGTTTCCTATATTCCAATGGTTGTCCTCGAAAAACGGACACCCTGTATAGAAAATCCAAATAAAAACCTTTTTGATACATTCAATTAAGGTGTTCAGGTGGAGTGCAATAATAGACGGGTAAACTTTGCAATTCCCATTTTTTATTTCAAAGAAGAAAAGCAATAAAGTAAGAACAAGTGCCCCCCCTAATTTTTTCTGGCCCAGCCTGGCCCCCCCTAACGTGAAGCCCTGGCGTCGCCACTACTGTAGTGCAAACACCTTACGTCAAAGCGAGGAACGGCATGCTGTTTACATCATCACTGGTGCTTTGGCATGGTGGGGGGCTTCAGATTTGATCTACAGAGGCCATATGCCGATAGGCTCTCTTATGGTTGTTTTATCCTGTGTAGTGTATAATAATCCTTGGATCTCCCTTTCCAACCGTCTCAACTCCCAACCCTGAAGCATCATCCGGTGATGCCAGGGAAGACTTGTGTATAGAATAGATACAGTATACCTAAATGCATCTGTTATCAGATTTGTAGGATTTTTTTTTTCAATAAGGGTTTTTTTTTCTCCGGTTCAAATCACTTTTCAAGGTGGTATAATACCTAGTGAACATCAATCATAAAACATGGAAAACAACGTATTTGATGGACCTAATAATAGTCATAAAATACGTCGATTTCAATTTTTTATGATACGATGTCGGTATTAGAGGGCGCTAAATTCAAATTTTGAAATTTCCCAAAGCCTACTTTGTCGTTTGTCAAACAGTGTTCCAATTACTCGATTACTAAGGATGATACGCACATACAAGGATTACTTATCGGCCTCATTTTTGGTAATCGCAGCCATATTGGTGTGTTACCATTTCCGACGTCATAACTAAGTCGTCAGCTGTTTAAGCAGCCTACGTTAACTCGAGAAATAACATGCTGCCTACGTCACAACTGGTAATTTGGCGTGGGGGATTTGTTACATACAGGCCTTATGAGGATAGGCCATCCTGTAAGTTGGTGGAAACGGCCATAATTCCAGTAAATTCTAAATTTCAAATTTGATTCTGTGCATGCTGGCGAAAGTGCCACACTATTTTGGGCCAGCCTGTATTATGTTTGTCAATAATAGAAAAGCAACCAAATTTAAAAATTGATTTTATTATTATCAATAAAGAACAATTATTAAAAGGCAATTAATTAGCCCAAAACTTAATTATTTATTGTTTTTTTTTTATATTATAATAATTAATTTTCAAATTATTTTCGCTAATATGACTCTGACATAACAGATGGCGCCACATCAAACATTCTGAAATGTGAGGTTAGAAAATCAATAAGTAAACAAAGACTGTTTCTTTTCTGTTTGTTAATTATTATTATATTTCCCATTAATTCAAGCTAGTAATTCTAAAATGTCTCAATTAAGTACTAAAGAAAAGCTCCTTTACATAATTGACGACATGGAATTGATTGCAAAGTAAGTACAAAGTTTTTCATTTGCTTGGGCCCCAATTTCATTGAAATTTTTGCAGAGAAATAATCGAAAATGCCATTGCCCCTAAAACCAACAAACTAAGCGGACCAGAATACGCCCAACTAACAGAATTACTAGTGGCCAAAGACAATGAGCTAAAAGACACATTAAATTTAGCAAAAGAACAGGTTACAATACAAAATTTTCCCACCAATTACAGTCTTAATTATTTCAAATTATTCCACAGGGCCAAATCAACAAAACAATGGACCTTTTAAAGGCCGAAGTGGAACGCCAAGACCAAGACATCAACCACTTGCAAAAGCAACTAAAAGAAGCCGAACAAATTCTATCTACTGCCATTTATCAGGCCAACCAAAAACTCCAAAGCATCGCTCGTGCCAAAAAACGTCCAGTTTCCTCTGAAGAACTCATCAAATTTGCCCACAGAATCAGTGCTTCGAACGCAATTTGTGCCCCATTGACTTGGCAACAAGGCGATCCTAGAAGACCTTATCCCACTGACATTGAAATGAGGCTAGGGATGTTAGGAAGGCTCAGTGATCCAATAAATGGGCACATGCTTCAACAAACTTCTATGAGTGATTTGCATAGAGCTGGACATCCAGGAGGTAATTTTTTGTGTTTTATTTTTTAGTTTGGCAACAATGTTTTTTTTTTTTTTTTGTAGAAATCCCTGCATCAAATCAGAACCAATTTGCTTGGCACCCGTCAGGTGAAATGCATATAAGTGTTGGGCAAGGTACTGTTGCAATGGATACTCGTAATCATAAGCAGGAAAATGAAGATGTTGAAGTCATGTCTACGGACTCGAGCAGCAGCTCTTCAAGCGATTCTCAATAGCATATTAAAGTTAGAAGATAATAACTATTAGGGCACTTTTCCAAATTCACTGGTTTCTTTTAATAGTTTATTCACCAAACTGTTCCAAAATGAACCAACTTTTTACTGGTTGAACCAGATCGTCCGTTCCAAAATTGACAGCTTTTTGAAACTGGTGAGGCACCAGGATCTACTGGGAATTTTTGTCGGTTTTTTTGAGTGCAGGTTTATTGACGTACATCAATTGCTTTGAATGGGCACTATCGGCAGTCGTTCGTTAAATTGTCACAACACAACCATCACAACTAAACTTTAACACACCATACCGTTCCAAAATGCATCAGAAAAATCTTGTAACTGGACTGTCACCTAACTTTTACCGGAATTTTTTGACAGCTACCGGTTTATTTAACCGGTAAATTTATCGGTGAAATTTGGAAAGTGCTTTTATTGTGAATTTTTAGGTTTTAAGCTTCATTTTATTGGTGGATTTTTTTGCAAATAAAATAATTTTTTTTGACTCTCACTGAATTTTGATTACTAGGGCTCTAAGACAAAATAATCTACAATGGCAACACACTTAAAGGAGCGGACCTTGGAATCTATAAGAAGAATTTGAAATATAGATGTCTATTTAAGAATATCAAAAATCTTCTTCTCTAGTGCAAATCTGGCATTAGTTTTTCAGGAAATCTTTCAAATCTGTGGGACTGTATTTTCTATTAATTCAGTGATTGCAAGTCGATTTTCAAGATTTTCCATGTTGTTATTTCCCAATGGAAAAATTTGAAATTCTGGAAAAATAAGCTCCTAATTCTCCTGTTCCCATACAAAAAGTTTCCAAATTTTCCCTGCATTAGTTTTCCAGGAAAACTTTGAAATATGTGAGATTGTATTTTCAATTATTTCAGTGATTGTAAGTCGATATTGAAAATTATTCATGTTGTTATTTTCCTTTGGAAAAAATTGAAACTTTTGGAAAAATGAGCTCCCATCTTTCCTGTTTGCATACAAAAAGTTTCCAAATATTCGCTCTATGAATTTTCTAGAAAAACTTTCAATGTGTGGGACTGTATTTTTAATTAATTCAGTGATTTTTCATGTTGTTATTTACTACTGGAAAAATTTGAAATTCTGGAGAAATGAGCTCGTAACTTTCCTCTTTGCATAAAAGAAGTTTCAAAATTTTCACTCCATTAATTTTCCAGGAAAACTTCTAAATGTGTGGGACTGTATTTTCGGTATTTTCAATTATTTCAGTGATTGTAAGTCAATATTCGAGATTATTCATGTTGTTATTTTCCACTGGAAAAAATTGAAATTTTGGAAAAATGAGCTCCTAACTTTCCTCTTTGCATATAAAATTTTTCAAAATTTGCGTAGGACTGTATTTTTAACTAATTCAGTAATTGCAAACTGATTTTCAAGATTTTCCGTGTTGTTATTTTCCATTGAAAAAATTTAAGTTTTGGAAAAATGAACTCCTAACTTTCCTCTTTGCATATAAAAAGTTTCAAAATTTTCCAGGAAAACTTTTAAATATGTAGGACTGTATTTTCAACTACATAATTCAGTCATTGCAAGTTGATTTTCAAGATTTTCCATGTTGTTATTTTCCATTGAAAAAATTTAAAATTTTGGTGATACATGAGTTTCAATAATTTCAGTAATTGTAAGTCGATATTGTTGTTATTTTCCATTGGAAAATATTTGAAATTTTGGGAAAAATGAGCTTTTAACTTTCCTCTTTGCATACAAAAAGTTTCAAAAGTTTTTCTACATTAGTTTTCCAGGAAAATTTTCAAATGTGTGCGACTGTATCTCTAATTAATTCAGTGATTGCAAGTGGATATTCATGTTGTTATTTTCCACTGGGAAAATTTGAAATTTTGGAAAAATGACCTTCAAACTTTCTTTTTTGCATACAAAAAGTTTAAAAAATTTTCCTCTATCAGTTTTCTAAGAAAACTTTGAAATGTGCAAAACTGTTTTTTTTTAATTATATGTAATTTCTGAGTGAGATACAAAAAAAGTGAATTCCCCACTCTACTCTAAAGCTCAAATTTCATGAAATCTTTATTGATGTAAATCACATTTTAATATCTCCAACCGTCTTGTCCCTATAGAGGGTGTTTCTCAATTCTGATCAAAATAATTGATTTCTGTATACTTTCTAGAGGTATTTTCCAGTAAAAACCAGTGACGTTCTCCCTTTTTAGGTATTTGGCCTCGATTCCGAGATATCGGTTAAAAAAAATTTCATCAAAAATCACACAAAAATTACCCACTTCCTTGATTTCAAAACTAAAAGTCTAACAGAGTTTTCTTGATAGTGACCTGACAAAAAGTTGTTTGAAAGAGGTAGGTCGTCTTGATAGCTTTAATGACGTCATCTGGAGTGCCTCAACATAATGCAAATCTCCATAAGGCACTTCAGATATGTCAATAAGTTACCTATTACCAGACAACCTATCAACTTTGGCTTGACCAATATGAGTAGACTCCACTTTAGACCATCAATTCCCATCTATAATCACAAACCACTCAAAGTAAATTTCATTGGTTGAAACGACTGTTTTTGACCAATGAAATTTGCTCCGATTGGTTTGTGATTTCTGCACAAATAGACCTTATACAGGGTGTCCCACGAGGTTCCTCCCAAATGATAACTTCGGAACGCATCATCGTATGTTCCACTGTATTATTTTCTATAATTTTTTTTAACAAAGCCTTAACAAATATGAGATTACCGATTTTGTAATATAATTTTTAAACGAAAAATGCCATAATATACCATGAGTTACACTTAAGATTCGAAAGATGACATTACTTGACCGAAATTGAAGCGAAACTGGTGAAATTGGATGACAGTGGTAGAAGCGGCACAAAATATTACCCAGATCCTCAAAAGTTCAGTTATATTGGATGACGCGTTCTGAAGTTATTACCTGAAAGAAACGTCGTGCGACACTCTGTATAAACCTCAACCTTGTATAACTTACTAAATTTTCAAGAAAAATTATTCAATATCAAATAATTACCATTTCTAATTCTAAAAAAAACATTTATTGAAAATTGTATTTTACCTACAACCATCATAGGTATCTAAATAGAATAAAAAATATGTATGTACAAACCCATAATGTTATAGTACAATTTCGAAAACAAAATATTTTTTTTTTTACAATAGTGAGCCCATTACCTTAGTAAATGAACAGTCTCAAAACAAGAAAAAAAAAATGTATTTTCCAACAGCTATGTGTGCCTAAAATTATTAAAAACTCTAAAATGCTACCAGATTAGAATAGTTTATTATTTTTTTGTACAATAAATGAAAAACAAAAACTCATTACAAAATGAGTTTCCCTTATAATAAAATACTAACATGAAAAAACTTTCAAAAAGCCAATAAATTCAAGTACTAATTTCTAAATTAGCATATTCTTCCGGCGTCACTTTGGTTAGCATGAAACTGCCATCTGGAAGCATGACGACCACTTTATGAGTACCGCCTACAAAAAACAATTCAGTATAAGACTTACTTGAAAATATACACAATTTAATTCTTACCAGGACTGAGTGGATCAGCTTGAACAACTTGCGCTACAACTTGATCATCAATTGGTTCCAATGCATCTGTTTTAAAGTCCAAAGGTGTTTCTATTTGTAGAGTCTGATCTACAGCCATGACTGAAAAGAATTAAATTTTATACAAGCAATTTTATGCAAGCGATTTTGTTACCTTCTTCCATAGCTACTTCAGGTTCAGCAGGAACCACATTAGCAGTACTAGTACTAGGTTGCGGTTCCTCCTCTCCAATCATTTCTCCAATTTCGTTGCTGACCAAAAGACACTGTTGCTGCCCATCTGGTCCTTGAGTAAGCAAAATCGTTTGCCCCTCGTCGTTTTGTCCAGCCACTTGATAAACGGTTCCGTCGTCCCCGGTCACGAAAATCGGATTTTCGCCATCATTCATAGTGAAAGAAGACCAATCCTCTTGTTCCAGTGCAGTGTCCAAGACTTCCGGTTGGCTGGTTTCGTCAACTGCTGGAGTTTCTTCAGTTTTTAACAATGACGGCTCTTCTTTTTTGACTGGAGATGGTGGGGGTTTTGGTTGTGCCACTGCAGGCTTTGGTTGGGCAACAGGTTTCGGTTGCAAACGTTGCGGACTTGGTTTGGGTTGCGCTTTAGGCGGCGGAGACAGAGGAGAATCTTCTTCCATGAGACTGGGCATGTTAATCACTGTTTTAGATTTGACAGGAGTTGTCATTGGTTTATTTTGAATTTGCTTAACGGTGCTTAGCACTTGTTGTTGAGCCACTGGTTTTTTTTGAGGACTGATTGATCTTTGTACTATTCTAGTCACTTGCGGTCTTTGAGTTGGAGTCTGTTGCTGTTGGGGTGCTTGTTGTCTTACCACGTTGCCAGATGGCGATGCTCTGAAAATTAAAATAAATGGAGGATAAATACAAATAGAGTTTGTAGCTCTATTTTTGAGTTATCTGGAATGTCAAGTCAAAACATGACAAAATCTATAAACAATTTGTTTATATGAAACCCCCAACTACCAACAAATGTACAGGGTGGACACTTTTGCATCCTGCTCCAAAACAATGTCAAAAAGATGAACAAAAAGTGAATCATTTATAATGCCTGAGTCTTTTTTCTTCCATCAAAATCTGAATTAATAGTTATTTATGTATCAAGGGAATTATGAGGGTGTTAATACCCCAGGGCGACGTTTGTTTCCCGAGGGCTTCTGGCCCGAGAGACACCAATTGCCCGTGGGTATTAACACCTGATAATTCCCGTGGTACATAGATAATTTTATATCCTACTGAATTTACTGTATTCTGTCTATTTTTATAAAGAAACTAGCTGACCTGGCGAACTTCGTACCGCCTCTGAATTATTAAATATACCTATTGAATGTTGTGTTAACGTATCTATTAGCTGAATTAAATTCAGTTTTTTTCGATGGTGAATTTGGCTTTGGTTGAAGAAAATTAATGTTTACTCTCTGGATCAGAAGTCACCTAAAATTAAAATTTTACATCATCCTTTTTTAGGCAGCTTGTGGGCATTATTCTTGTAAAGTGTACCACCAAATAAATAAACTCAGGCACAGGAATGTTCAAAGAATGTAAAGAAAACAAAAAAAATCTCTAGCGCAGCCCTGTTCCACTCTATCTGCACTGCATACACTGCACTACTCTATCTGTTCTACTCTATCTGCACTACTCTATCTGATCTACTCCTTCTGCACCACTCTATCTGATCGGAATAGTGGAATAGTTCTGATGTTGGGTTCTTTATGATGAGATTTTGATGAACTGTGATTTTTTTGTCATCTGTTGAGGGTTTTCTTAGATTCTCCAGTCGCCTGAGGAATTCCTCATTTTCCTTCACCACGCCCGGTGCTTGTTGTGGTGATGCTCCGGTGAAATGTTCATATGTTCTCGTAGGACGATGAAAAAAACTGAGCCGCGCTCAAATGTGACAAAACCCGCCTCAGACTGTCCGCTCTCCACCAAACTCTGCGACTGGTCCATTGCGGCGGTGAAATTCTTGCTGCGTCCACATAATGTGCCTTTGATCTTGCAAGCAGTTTCTCCAACGACAAATTCACCTTGGCTATGAATTTATTAAGGATTGGTCTGTTCACAGTTTTAGGACAGCCGATTACCATCAACTGGGTGTCTTCTATTCCCTGTAAGAGGTGTCTTAATGAGTTTGCGCTAACAGCCTGATCTTTCGACGCACTATTTGAGCCCATGAATAGAATTATTTTGTCATCTTTACTGAGTTTCCCGCTGTAACCAAGGGTCAGCTTTATGATATCATCAGAGGTAGCATGCCTTAGGTACTGACTATTTATGTCGAAGCTCTTGTCCGCATATTCCTTGAACAGCTTCATACTTCCCTCCATCGGTATATTGGACACAATCAAGAGCTGAGGCTTCCCATTAGGCTCCAGGCATTTCAAAAAACATCACTCAGGTAATAATATGACCCATTTTTTAGAAAAAACACTGTGATGTGAGGCCAATTGAACATTTTTCGTATGATGGCCTTATTAGGAACATGTTAAATTAATAAAAAAAAAATCTGTAACTAGAAATCTAACAAAGATATTATTCTGTACTTACTCTGTAGCTTTGTCAATACCCAAATGTCCGTTAAAAAATTCCAATCGCTCCATTCACTTTATAAACACGTATATAAGCTTATTGAGTTCTAGCCACAAAGTTATAACGTAACATATGAAATATGTGGTTGGCCATTTTTCGACATATGACGAGTTCCTAGGAACCCTTGCAATAATTTTTTATTTGCATTATAGATTTCTTTTTTAATAATATTGTAATTTTGTAAAATGGGATTCAATATTGAGCAATAAAGGGCACTGGCCTTATTAGGTACATGGCCTTATTTGGGTCAGGTACCTTATATAGATAAACCATAAATCAAAATTTTCTCAAAGTTTTACCTATTCAAGGTAAAAGCGGGAGTTATGGAAATCTTTAACTCCCTTGGGAGTTAAGACCCTGTTTATAATTATCGTAACCAACGTATATGGTTTTAATAGTTCAGTTGGATATAAAATCATTAAAGGCCAAATTATGGACTGACTGGTAAACGTCTGGTTTTTACCTAGCAGGTACTTTCTATGCACTAGAGAATAGAAAGTACCTACTAGGTAACAACCAAACACTTACCAATTGGTCCATAATTTGGCCCTAAACAAAGTTACAATCTTACTGATTGGATATTGTATCATTTTCATTGTTGGCAATATAATTTAGTTCTTTTTATTATAACTTTCCATTTACCTACCTGATTTACCTTATTTATTAGTTTTCAAATATAAAAATTTATCAAGCCTGACATAATTTTTCCTTCCTCAGAAAAACCGATAATAAACTTGATAAATAATCAACAATCATTCTTACCTGACAATCGTATTTGCAACCCTCCTAATTGCAGGCGAACCTGCAACTCCCTTATCAGCTTGCACCCGATTGGTCTGCCTGATACCGCCCATTGCTGAGTAAGTCCTAGTAGGCGGCAAAGGAGACGGCAAAGGCTTAGACACCAAATTATTTCTGGGTCTGTTCATTTGCGTGGGTCCTCCTGGCATACTTTTGCGGACTACGTTGGTACCGGGCCTTGGGGAGTCGCTCGCTTGCCGGTATACGGTTTTAATTTGCGGATGCTGGTTCATTTTTGGTTGCGTTATCATTTGGTTGATGATCTTTTGCGGTGGGCGTACCCCTTGGGCTTGCGGTCTGGCTATTGGTTTTGGTTTAGCTGTAACTAGCAATTTATCAAATTTATATTAAATTCAAATTCAAATTCTTACCTTGGCCTTGTCCAACATATTTGTTGAGTACTGTAGGAGTGCTGCTTGGTTTTGATACAGTGTATTTGATAATTTTGCGAATTCCTCGTTGTGAAGTGTCTACCACGGTTCTTTCCACAAAGTCAGTTTTGGGGGTAGCTTTAGCGGGCGTTTCCTCTTTTATTTGAAGCGAAGAGTCGTCACTGTCATTACCTGCATCGAAATCATCATCTGACAATTCAGCCGCGGCAATTTTGACAATATTTTCCAGTTCTGTAGTTGTGGCTGGTTCAATTTGCGGTTCTTTTTTAATTACCACAGGTTTATCTACGTATTCTATGCCTGCAATTTTTCCTGTTTCTGGATCTAAAACGAAGTCATCATTCTTTTCTTCTTCTTCTAGGGGCGGTATTGGTTCGTCTGGAGCAGGGAACGGTAGAGGTTCCAAGCCATCATCAGATTCTTCTTCATCTGTTGGTTTTTTAGGATTTATTTCCTCGATTTTTTTAAGGAGCATCTTTGCTGATTGGAGATTAGGAGACAGCGTTCTTTTAGTTTCTTGACGCAACTTTGGAGTTATTCTAGAAGAAATTGAATGTTGTATATCATAATTTGCCTTATTCCTGGTACGTGAAAGATGTCTTTTTATGTGTTTTCATTTGCTATTATTCTTCCAGTCATAATAATAAGTAGATTATTTTTTAAATATTTGTGTCACAACACAATGTGTCTGGATTCTTATTCTCAAAACAGGAGAGCAGCGTTTTCCTGGGAATAAAGGTTCTGTTTCAGTCGCCCATATTTGTATTTTTATAACACTGACAAACACAGGGCCATTGTTCTCGTGAGAACCCCTGTTTTGAGAATAAGGGCTCAAAAGCAAACCAACTAAAAAAATCATAAACCCGAAGAGCAAGGTTTTTTTTTTCTAGATTCTTTAATGGGCAAGAGAGGAGAACAAACAAAGTAGGATATTTCTTGGTGCTTGAGTGGCCTTGCAATAATTATTGTTATGTTAATGTAATAATGACAGTGTTATAAGTAATTCAATAAATAAGAGTGAGAAAAAAATAAACCAGGAAAAATTAAATTCGATTGTTCCTAGTGGTTGAGTGGACTTATGATTGTTGTATCTTACCATCAAAAAGCTTAGAATGATGAAGAAAAAGATAGCAATATGAGAAATTCAATAAGCAAGAGAGAATTATATTATAGAGAAAATGATTGTAGTACAGAAAACACAAATAAAAGAGTATATTATTGACAAACCTTGGTGTTGAAGCCTTGACAGCACTAGCCTGACTAATTTTCACTGGAGTCGCCGAAGCCTGTCCAACAATTTCCTTCTTCCCATCCTTACTGACAACCTTAACATGAGACTGACCAATTTTGGGCAAAACTTTAACAACAGTTTGTCCCCCACTGGTGGCCATTTTAGAAGTGTTGGAGTCTAGTTTAATAATACCAGCCGTCTTTGACATTATATACACCCCACTTTTCAAGGAGGGTAGTTGTTTTTGATTGATCCTCACAACACCATTGGCATCTGGAATCAAAATATTCGATGGTACAGGTTGCTGGGGTGTAGTATTCTTGTTGCCATTTTTGACAGCTTTAGCCGGTGCTATTGGCCTAGGAGTCGAAGGCACTAAAAAAAACAATCCAATAATTATCACCCCATAATAATAACACTAATTCAAATTACTTTTTTTTATTTGCATCTTTGTTTTAGCAGGTGCCTCGTCAGAATCTTCAGTTTCAAATTCCAATTTGATTCTTTTATCTTCAAAATCATCGTCACTGTCATCATCCATGTTGTATTTGCGCTTCAAACCGGCATCATCGTCTTCTTCATCAGAATTGGTGTCACACCATTGTTTGACTTGATTCAAAGCCTTCTGTTTGCAGTGACGCTGTGGCCGTTTGGTGCTAGGGCTGCCGTAGTCTTCAGTTACTCCGCCAACTATGTTAGTTATTTTTGGAGAGTTAAAGTTTGTTGCTTTGGTAGAAGGCCTGCCCTTGGTTCTAGGTGTCATACTTGACTTGGCTTTTTCTTCTTTCATACGTTTCAATTGCTCTTCAAACTGCTCCAGCAACTTTTTGCAGTGGCTGAGATTGTTCATGGGTTCCCAAGTGTTTGAATCGCTACAAAAAATGTATTTAAATTAATGACTATTGATAGGGGACAGTCAAAATCTTACTGTCCGAAATTTTCCCACTTGATGTTGTACTCCCAAGTTTTTCTTCGGGGGTTGAAACGTTTAGCCATTATTTTTTCTACAACAAATTCTTCTTTTATGGCACCAATTTTACCAGAACGAAGAGCAGAGTTTGTCATTGATTCATTGCTGGATGTTGGAGGAATCTAAAACCCGAAATATACAATAATTGAAAAATACTTTATTGCCTTTTATTACCTTTGGTGCAGGAGTGATTCTAACCTCATTTAACTTAACAGATCTGGCAGGAGTTGCTCCTTTTTTGACAATATTACCAGTCGAATCGATGCTGAAAATGCTACTGTTTTCCTTGTTGCTATCTACTAGAAAAAAGTTATTGAATGAAATAATAGCAAAAACTTCAAATGATTCACTTACTGAACTCTGGGGGTGGCGGTGGGTTTGTGATTTTTTGCACAATGCTCTGTTTGACCATTTTGGACGGTCTCATTTCCGTTACATTAGCGTTGGCCAATTTACTGGCAAATTGAATGGAAATTCCTGCTGCAATCCAAGGGGTTCTCTCAGCTTGTGGCAAGTTGCACCAGGCTTGATATATGAACCAATTAGATTTTTTTGGGGATTTATTTTTTTCATTCTGGAAAACAAATTAGTTTTGTTTAGTAAGTACAAAGTGAGCTCACAATATTCCATGTGAAAGGACATTTTCTTACCTCATCCAAATATTTACTTTTCCACAAACAATAACCCCAAATTTGCTGCTGATTGTCACCCTCGCAGGTGTTATTAATCATGGAAGAAACTTTGGGACATTTGCTTTTTTTGTGTTCAATAAACTCCTGAGTGAAATAAAAGGGATTGTGGCAATCTCCGCATATCAAGATATCCAATTTTGATAGTTCCTCTTTAGATTCTAGGAATAGAAATTTATTGATGTCATTTAAAAAAAAAAAAATCCATTAAGATTAACAATTCTTACGTTCAATAAGATCAGGATTTTTAGCAACTTCTGCTGAATCTTTAGCAGTAGGTAATTTCTGTTCTTTTTCCAAAGCAACTTTCAAAATATTTCCAACATTTTTTTCCTCCTGAACTCCGGCCAAAATATCTTCAATATCTTCATCCATTTCACAAATTCCATTATTCACTTCTTCCTTTTCATTTTTCGATTTTGCTTTGGAAATAAGTTTTTTGCCTGGGATTTTGTCAATTTCTTTTTGTATTTCTTCAATTGATTCAGGCTGAAATGGTTGACTTATTAATCAATGGAAATTGATATAAAAAAAAAAATCACAAACCATGTGTTCATCATCATCATCCTCCTCCTCGCTTTCTCCTACAGCTTCAGCTACAACTTTTTCTAATGTTTTTTGTTCAGCTTCAGCTTCTTCAATATCCATCGATTCTGGTTCTTTTGGTTTTTCAATATTTTCATTTGTATCTTTTATAGAATCTTCTTGTTTGTCTTCTTGCTGCTAAATTTTAAAAAACATTAACTTAATAAATACATATGATAATAGATACACTTACTGTTGCCTCCTCAATTGGTGGGGTTTCGTCTAAATCAGTATCCAAAGCCATTGGTACGTCTTTTTCTTGAATTTCTTCTTCTTCACGTTCCTCAATACGTTTTGAGCTCAGTTGTTCGTCTGCAATTTTTTTTATGAACTGGTCTATGGCAATTGATGGATCTTCATCACCCTAGAAAAAATAAAACATTTTTTCTACTACGTAGTAGCACAATTACTTACACACTCTTCACTAGTGTGTAAAGTAAATATTTCAGTTTACACCCTAGTGTCGCTAAAAAAAATTAATAAACTGAAAAATTTCTTTATGTAACATAGGTAGAAATAGATTTGAAAAATTTTCAATTTTCAATAATTTGAATATGTAACTGTCTAAGGGCTGGTTTATTCACCTTCTGATAAAAGGTCAGGTAATGCAATCTAACGGATAAACACGCAAGCAACGATCCTTTTGGTAGGCCAGTTATCTGCAAGCAAATAGGATCAGAGATACATACATTAATCTTGTAGGCAGTTACCAGTAAGTTAATCTGAAGATAAATAAACTTGCTGGTTACTAAATAGATTTATCATAAAAACACTTTGGAAAACTTTGAAAGGTCATAACTTTTTTTCTATTATAGATAGAAAGCTGAAACATTGACTGAATTTTATCCAAATCAAGGAACTACAATCCCTGAAAATTTCAGCTCATTTGCACTTATAGTTCTTGAGATAAAATCGTGTTAAGCAATTTGGGGTGATTTATCAATTTTTCTGAGTGCCTTTTTTCATACCAGTAGAGGACTATAATCCCTGAAAATTTTAGCTCATTTGTACTTATAGTTCCAGAAATAAAATTGTGTTAAGCAATTTGGGGTGATTTATCAAAAGCCCAATATATTCATTTTCAGATAAACTCGCTAATAACTATCTGCAAAATATATTTACCATTCGGCGGATAACTATTTGTGACGTCACCTGCAGACCTCGACTCTTGGCGTAAGATGCATTATCCAAGTTTAAAACATAGGTTAAAAAACGTTAAAATCACCTCTTCTATATTTAAAATCGATTATATTAGCTGCTGATAGTGGTGACGTGACCTGCAGACCGGCTTCCGACTCGAGAACTGGCGAATGTACGCCTTAAGTTGAGCAATTCTATTTGGTGGAGTGGTTTTGGATTTATAGTTCTATAATTCTATTGGTAGAAGGATAACTGGCTGATCAATAGGGTTACAAATTGCGTTTTAATCCATCAGATTGCATACCTTTATTAGAAGGTAAAAAAACTGGTCTTAATTATACATTTTTGGAAAGGCACGTGATTTGTAAATTGAAGCTGTCTGATCCAGTCACGTGCCTGTCAAAATTTCGCAGCAAATCAACGAAAAAGATGACAAAAACGAACAAGGGCAAAATTAATGTATTTTTTTAATTGTTAGTAGGTACATTCAATTGAATAACACCAGTTTTTGTAGTGTTGAGAAAGGATCTATGCTCTGATGTCATTTTAGTTTCAAGAAATCACGACAGCTTGGCAACGTCGCATTGTCTAATGTCTACTGATAAATACTTGATAAGTCTAAGTTACATTGGATTGACCGATCTAGTTCAATTAAGGTCAACCAGACCCTGTTCGATTGTATTGGATCAGTTTATCCTCACCAACAAAAATTAATCTAGATCCACTCTAGATCAAAAGAAGTGAACTAAAAATATTGCTGGTGCAGTTAGATTGATTTGTAAGAAAAAAACAAGAAAGCTTTTTACACCAAACGAACAAACAAGTGACAGTTATCGAATGCTTCTTTTTATAGAATCCAGCTCCAAATCTCAGAATAATTTGGATGATGATAATTGAAAAGGAACCAAGCGCCAAATTGCAAAAATCTGGATTATGGAACCATACGACAGTATGGCATATATTTTTAATGTGTAAAAAGTATCAAGCGCCTACCGGCATCCTAGCGGCATCTATGGATTGAAGATCCAAGCGACTTTGGGCGAAATAGCAGTTTTTTGTTGTAGAAAAAGATCCAACTTCCAGTTCTGTTTATAGAAAAAGATTATTGTCACTTGGTTCCCTTTATATTTCCGGACAGTTTTGTTTGTGATTTTGTGAGTGCTGGTTTTTGTGATTTTGGATTTCAGTTTAAACTAAAAATGAGTAAAAGAACTAAGTTAATTCTCAGTAATGCTTTACGATTGAGGAATTATGACCCGTCGTGCGAAATAGAGCCAAAAAAGCCAAAATTTAGCGAATGTAAACCGGTAAGTAAGTTTTAAAGGTGAGGTTTTCAAGAAATACTATTTTTAAGCTTTTTTTCTCAAAATAATAGTTATTTATTATACAAGGCGGTAAAAAGATGCTTTACCTGTGAGTGGAAAATGTTGATTCACGAGCGACGAAGGAGCGAGTGGATTAAAAGAAGAGAACGAGTGGGTAAAATTGACGTATGAGTGGGTAAAATTGACAAATGGGTTGATAAAAATTGTTCGATTTCACTACTTCAAATAAAGTGTTACTTTAACAACGAGTTTTGAGTCGATTAAATGATAGTTTACCATTCGCGATAGAATAAATTAAATTTTCTTGTTGTTTGAATTTTTTTTTCAACATTCAGCAGTGTTTGAATTGTTTTTTTATGTATTGGCGTTCAAAAAATCAATATTATTATTGAGATAATATCTAAAAAGATCCAAGCGCCCTTATTTCATAATGTAAATTCCGAACCAAGAGGTATTTCCGCGGTTGGTTCTTTTTAGAGTTCTAGATAATATTTTAATTACTTAAAAGATAGGTATTTATTTTGTTGTTATTTTGCGTTTTAAGGGACAGTATGGGCCGGAGCCACAACCACAGAATTGCAGTTCAACTTCAACAGGCACAGGTAAAAGTATACAAACATTGTGTAAAAATACTTCAGTATAATATCTACGGAAAACCTTTTTATTTTTTCAGGGGTAAACATATCGAACTTTGAAAATAGAAAAACGGATGAAATGAACATTCAAGTCCAAAATAATAGGTCTGTTCGTAGAGAAATCACAAACCAGTCAGAGCGAATTTCATTGGTTGAAAACAGTCAGAAAACTGGTTTCAACCAATGAAATTCACTCTGACTGGTTTGTGATTCCTCTACGAACAGACCTAATGAAAACTCAACTGTCACCGAATCAAGTTTGGGTTCAGTAATTGATAAAAAAATGCGGGTGTTCAGGAGACCACTCGAACAAATTCAGATATCTTCGCCAAGCTCACCAGGTGAAAATAAATAAATACCTTTATACTGATTATTGAATTTCGGAGTATCTTCAGTTTAAATAACTAAATACAGGGTGTCCCAGCCGAGAGTGACCCATTTTAAATGCTTATAACTTTTAAACCAGGTGAGCTAGTTACCTGCGGTTTGTGCCATTCGATTTCTATTGGTCTAAAGTTTTTTCCAGTAGGTTTCAAATTTTTTTGAAACTTATACAGGGCGAGTAAAAAAAATCCGTTTTTCAACATCGAAATTCTCCACTATTTCTAATGGAACACCCTGTATATCACAACGTCAAAAAAAAGATTAATGTTTAAGGTTTCCATGTACCAATAGACATCGTCCCTAAAACTTGAAGTTTTAGCCGTAAAAAAATCAAAATCGAAATCTTGGTATTTTTGCAATGCCATGCAACTTCATGTTGTAGGAACTTGATATCACTATGGCAAACAATTTTGTAACTGTCTAGTTAGATATCAATTAAGTTGAGATACATTTTCCAAGATTTAACGAGTTCCAAAGTATTTTCTGTGGAACTCATTAAATAGAGATACCCCAACAATAACAGTTTGGTGTGCAATCTCTATTGAGAAAAAAATACAGACCATTTTCATTGATGAACCATCAATAACAGAAACTGTATACACTGGTCACTGATATGTTCTTTTTCCCATGGTTGAGACAGGAGGTTATCTTGAATGATATCTATTTTCAGCAGGATGATGCCCCACCTCATTATTCATTAATAGCAAGGGAATCACTAGATATGACATTTGGGGAAAGACGGATAAGGAGAGCTGGCCGCTGGCCTATAGAATGGACACCTTACTCTCTTGACTTGAGAGTTCTAGACTCTTTTCCCTGGCGGTATGTCAAGGAAAGATGCGGCAATACTTTGTTAAAATAGCCTGAAAGATCTTAAGTGGAACATTTGTAATGTCATTGAAGCGATTCTCCAGGAAATGTTACACAATTCATTCAACCATTTATTGATCCACAAATGCCTGGAACAGAATGCCTAACATATACATATAGGAATCTACAGCTTTTTGTATAGTTTTATGCAGTTGTTATTTACTTTTTATTAGGCAAACATAAGGTTGAAGCTTTGAAAATAGGTGCTTCGAGAGGTGTTTGCAAAAATACCAAGATTTCGAATTTGATTTTTTACGGCTAAAACTTCAAGTTTTAGGGACGATGTCTATCGGTACATAGATACCTTAAACATGAATCTATTTTTGACGTTGCGATATACAGGGCGTTCCATTGAAAATAGTGGAGAATTTCGGTGTTGAAAAACGGATTTTTTTTTACTCACCCTGTATAAGTTTTAAAAATTTTTGAAACCTACTAGACCAAGAGAAATCGAATGGCACAAACCGCAGGTAGCTAGCTCACCTGGTTTAAAAGTTATAAGCATTTAAAATGGGTCACTCTCGGCTGGGACACCCAGTATATTCCCTTATTTTTATTATTGTAACTACTTTAGGGGCATACAATGATGAAAACCTGCAGAATGAAATAGTTATTTACAGTGCGTTTATGAACATGATTACAATAACGAGTGTGAAAGATTAGTTCTAGTCACACGAGTTTTGTAGTCATTTTTAAACGTACGTGTGATGTACAACGTTTTATCTACAAAGCGAAAAATAAGAATATTTTTTCAATCATTTTCGTTTATTAGTCGTTGTCTACCGTCATTTTACCTTTACAGGTTTACCTTTGACATTTGTCAAATCACCAAAAATAGTTGTGTTATAGATTCATAACCTAGTCCATAACACCACTAGTTGTGTTATGAGTCTCATGACATAACTCAAATACTAGAAAAATGGTTATATAAAAACGTCATAACCAAACGCTTGTAGATAAAAACATATAGTAGTAGTAGTAGTAGTAAACATGCTTTATTGTTAAAGATTACATTGATTCTTATTGACAAAGCTAAGTCTTAAATACATCGCAATAAAAAATCCATTAAGTGGACACAAAAAGTAAGAGAGAGTCTCAAGATCAAAATATCCTTGCTAAAAATTCAACTTCAGTCGAAAGGAATTTACCCAAAGTAATTGTTGAAAAAATTCCGAACTTTAGGGCACTAAATGAAGAAATTATGGTTCCTATTCTAAGTTTCACAGGTAAAAAAATGAATACCTATTTTTAATGATAACATTGGATAATTTTTTTGAATATAGCAAAATATACAGAATACCAATTTTATTGTTTCAGGGGCGGATTTTGTCACTACAGAGAATGAAAAATCTGGAAACTCAGAACTTCAATACCAGATAAATAGAGAATTATTTGAAGAAAATGCGATTTCTAGAAACTCACCTGAAATGGCAGTTCATGAAAATATAAATAATAACTACGAAAATGGTATATTCGAACAGGAAATAGAAGACGAAGATTCAGACGACAGTGTCAGAGACCGTGACTTTATTCCTGAAGAGGAAAGCAGTAGTGGTAGTAATTCGCAGGAGGATCAGGATGACTTGCTATTTAGTGAAGAAGAAATTGAGAGGAAACAAAAATTAGAGCAAGAAAAGAAAGGGCGCTCTAAGAGAGGACGACATAACAAATATCCCGGGCAAACTTTCGCTACGAGCAAAAAATTAAAAGACTCAAACCAAACTCATTACACTGTCAAAGGGAAATTGAAAGAAGCTAAACAGTTTTATGATTACAAATGCGGCTGTGAATTTGCGTTATATAATTTGCTAACAAGCTACATTGCAGCAACAAATAAAGAAATACCTATCACAAGAAAGCTAGCTAAGAATGGGCCAGGTAAATCTTTTACTAGAGTGTATATGCTTGGAGAGGTTGAAGTGTGCCATGATACCTATATCAACACTTACCAAATATCCACAAAACGGGTTAACACTGTATTAGAAAAAAAACGTAGCACCAAAATACAGAATGAGCGAGGAAAATCTGGAGGAAAGTACAAAATTGATGAAGAATCAATAAATCAAATTATCGATCATATATCCAAATTTCCTACCTATGTGTCCCACTATACTCGTTAAGAAACGGAAGCGAAATTTCTACCTTACGACCTCACAGAAAGAAAAATGTACGAACTTTATGTGTTTTATAAAAATATATTTTACAAACATTTCAACTTCAGGCGTAAGCCCCCTATACATGTAACAAGTGTGACATGTATTCTTCACAGGTAAAAAATGCGCAAAATGAGAACCAACAGCTAGTTCTAAAAGAACAACATGATAGGCATCTTGAAAATGTGCAGCTTGCTCAAAGTCAATTGAATAAAGATTTAAAGGAAGCAACTGGAAACCCACTTATCGAAACCCTCTGCTACGATATGGAGAAGGTCCTAGGATTAGCCAAACTACTAACAAAGTATTTTCAACGAGGGGGTTCATTCAGACTCCACAAACACTCCATATTCATATTGTTTTTTGTGGAAAGAAGGTGTAGCCGGTCGGGGAGCACAGGAAGTGGGCTCATGTTTAAAAAAGCTTATTGAAGTGCACCTTAAAATAGGAGTAGAGGAATTAATATTGTGGTCAGATAGCTGAGGTGGACAAAACCGCAACATAAAAATTGTGCATATGTTAATAAAAGTTCTAATGCAGCACCCTACATTAAGCAAAATATATTTTAAATATCTTGAGTCTGGGCACAGTTTTTTGCCCAATGACACAGATTTTGGGCAAATAGAAAGGGCGCTCAAGATGCAGGTTCGAGTTTACACCTTGAAAGACTTTATGTCTGTAATTGGAAATTGCAAGAAACAAAATAAATTTGTAATAAACCTAATGAAGCCTCATGATTTCTTCACCACTGAAGATCTTGAAAAACAAATTATAAATAGAAAAGTAACTATTTATAGAGAAAAAGTTAGTTGGTTAAAATCAAAAATAATAAAACTCAAAATTTATATGTGAGTCACACTCACCCGAGGAAAGTCAGTTCAAAGAAATAGATATTTCAAAATCAACACGAGGTAAAAAAACTCCTATAGATCCCCAAAGACTCAAATTGCTTTACCCTGAAGGAAAAGCTATTTCTGAGAAAAAATGGGAAGATATAAAGACTTCACTAAAGTTTCTTCCCAAGGATGCAATCAAATTTTACAAAATTCAAAATATTGAGAACTTCGAAGATGATATTGAAGGTTTTGGCTCCAACATAGATTTTGATTTTGAAGACTAAATTTTAAGGTTTTTGATTTTGTTGTAACTGAATGAAGTGCCTTTGATTATAACAATTGAAATAAAATTTTCTTTTTTTTTTTAAAGGATCCGTGTCATTCTTTCTCTTTTCTTTGAACAGAACCAGGGAGCTTGGATCTTTTTCAAGTTGTAAAACACTATTATTTAATTTTTGAAAAGGATCCATCTACCAAAAAAGGGTTCAAACTATATTTTGCTAAGTGGAAAAAAGATAATCCACTAGTGTTTATCATTTGCTTTCAAACGTACTATGGGAAAAACTTCTAAAAATATGATAATTTAAAAAAAAAACCGTTTTATATCACAAATCCGCCGATTACGTAAATGTCTAATTTGGTGCTTGGATCCCTTTCAATTAGCATCATCCATTTATTGTATGGAGTTTGGGGTATTCCAAAGGACCATAAGGACACAAAATCTCAACAACAAAAAAAATTTTAAGATTCATCATTTTAGTAAGAAAGTAGCTACCTTATGATTTAGATTTTGGAAAACTTTGAAAGGTCATAACTTTTTTTCTATTAAAGATAGAATGCTGAAATCTACAGCGATTCTTAACCCAGTAGACGACTACAATCCTTGAAAATTTCAGCTCATTTGGACCAGAAATAAAATCCAGTATGTTTAAATAATATGTTGTATGAAAACAGCATTTTTAAAAATTATTCATTCAAAAAATAAGATATTTTAAAGCCACTGGAAGCAGGGATATTTTTATTTTGGTTCATACAACTGATTAAAAATATTTAAGGCAATGAAATTCACATTATGGTGAAACTCCCCATTATGGAGATTGACTTGGCAACATTTGAATTGTGACGCAAACCACAAGTTGGCAACCTTGGCCCTTCGATCCCTAACCCAAAAAAAAACACTTCGCTTTGGCAATGCAATCAACATGGCGGCATAGGTCAAATAAATCAAACAATAAAATTGCAGCCATAAGGATTTTATTTAATTCCTTCAAACAACATATAAATAATTAATTAAATGCTAAAATACAATTATTTATCATTGCGCATGACTGGGATGACCATTAAAAAAAAAGCACAATAGTTTTTTTAATATTGAAAATCAAGTTTTGTCTTTGTAAGAACAACATTAAACGAGACTTTATCACGATAAAAACGACTTCCAGAACCAACTACAATACACATAGCCGGCATTTTAAAAAAAATAAATACATATAGGTATACTTCACACACTGCAATTTATTTAAAAATAAACACACATTACAGAAAACAGATGCTTGACCCATGCCGCCATACTGAATTCAAAATTTGATGTATTTCCTTCATTGTGCACCAAGTGTAAGTGTATATCCTTCTCTTTCTATCAGCCTACTAAAGACGCAGATAGAAAAACATTTTTATTTGCACTAATTTTCAACAACCAAAAAACGCCATTAAATAATTATTTATTTAAATAATTTTTACCGAATTACGATTAATAATAATAGTCTAGGAAAAATTAAATGTTTACCCATATGAATTAAAATCTCAAATCAAAAATTTCTGTATATAAATCCACATCAACTTATGAAATTATAACCTCAAAATTGGTTTAAAAAATTAAAAATAAATCCTATTTTTTCAATAAAACTAAACTTACTTGTGATTCGTCCAGTCCCTCAGCAGAAGTATCAATTATAGTCTGACCAGTCTCGCCTGCAATTAAATCTTCAGCAGGCTCGCTCTCAATCGATTCCTGGGTTTTATTTTGGTCTTCGAGAGTCTCGTCTAAATCATCCTTTAAAGCTTCCTCGGTTAATATTTCGCTATTCAAAAACGGACTTTCAGTTTGATCCAAATTTTCCAATGCAGTACCCGAAAAAACTGAATCTGTTGTTGCCGATTCGGCACTTCCAGCGGGAAAATCGTCGGTGGCGTCTAATGAAGGCATCGAAACGCTAACTCTATGCCCTGCTGCTTCTTCCATAATAATTTGCCGTCACAATAATCACCTACAACCAAACAAAAATCAAACATTTTAAAATAAACAAGACAAGTAATATTTTAGGCGCCAAAAGTGTCGAGTGTACGTTTTTCTTTTTCACCGACGAGAGCTTTTTTGCTGATCGGAGCCAAACCTGTCAAACAAGATGGCCGAAAAGACAGACGTAAATTGGAAAAGGATGCCCTGTTTCGGAAAGTCAAAACGTAAATTTCCGGCGCGAAAAATCCATGTTGGCTAGAGAAAATCGAGTTTTTGCGGCCCCAATGATATTTTCGATAATTTTAGCGCGAAACACTCACCTCACAAAGAGAATTTTTAGATGAAAACCACTACAAGCACTTGGTTCATGGCGAAAGTGCTGCCGCGTCGATACCGCGTACTAAAAACTAGAACATGACGCCCGATCTCTGGAACATACCAATCACTCCGTTGCTAGGAAATATTTAATTTTACTATTTCGAAACCCCCTTTTGATTTAAGATTTTTATAATTAATTTAAAATTAATAATAAATAATAGAACCGATTATTTTCGTGGATTGATTTGGCAAATTCGGTTTTTGGCAATTTGAGATTTTTTTCCTTGGGTTGGTACGTCTGTCAAGTTTGCCAACGATGATGGGGCTATTGGCGCAATCTGCAAGGGCGAGCGAGAGAGGCGACAAATGGTGGGAAAATTAAAATTAAAATGGCTTCGACCTAAATAATTCATTTTGTCATGAATAAAATAATTAATATAAATATTGTAAAAAGAAATGTAATTTTGTTTACCTAATTTCTGGACCGTTTCATTTTTGCTGCAAATAAATTAATTATTAGGGAAAAAATTAAAACTCGGAGAATGGCGTCGGCGTGACGAGTGACAGTGAGAGAGCTTTTTGTTCGGGTGTTATCGATCGTTCGTTGTCGTTTACCAGCCTTAACAAACCTTGATCTTTTTAATTTTGTCAATATAGACAGATCATATATCTATCTTTGTTCCTCCTTTTTATTTCGTATTGCTATTTACTCTAGTAAATTTTATATAATGAATATTTTATTTCTATTGGCTATCGTTGGCTATCATGAAACTTAATGATGGCGGGAAAATAAGTTTTGAATTCACGGTTTGTTTAAATTCAGCAGCCGGCTCCGGACGCGGACGTACCATACGGGGCTGAATTAATTGTTTGTTATTATATACAGGGTGTTACAAATTTGTAAGTTAGTATATGGGGAGCATAAAACCTACAGGGTCAAGTCGGTTAATAATTAAGGCAAAGCTACGCAATTTCTTGCTTGTGCGGAAAAGTAAAAATATTCAAAATTGTTACAAATCTTTCGTCTATTATCCGTTCACAATCCGATGTCCACAGGTACGTACAGGTAAAATCACCTTTCAATGCTATTTGATAGGATTGGATTTTTTTACAAAGTTACAAAGTGGATTTTTTGGAATTTTTGGCATTTTTCTGGAATTTTCTAGAATTACCTAATTGACATTTTTTGGAATTAGTTGGCATATTTTTGGAATTAGTGGGATTTTTTGGAATTTCTTGTACAAATTTGACCAGCGATTTGCCCCTCGCCTCGGAATAGCCTGTTCTGCGCAAATACTTATTATCTAAAGGTGAGTTCGGCTTGGCAAAACGGAGTTGGAGCGGATAAAGGCAGTTCCCAGATAAAAGAATCTAATTTAAAGTAATGTAAAAACAAAAATATTTACTACTTTTTTCTTGTATTGGCATTTTTTCATTTCTAAGAACGAGATTATTCCCATCATAAACCGGAACATGATGTGCGAAGCCATTTTTTCTACCAGAAGCCCCAGCAACCAGCTTTAAGCAAAAAATATCTTCTTCGAACTCTTTAGAATTTTACCCCCCTTTTGGAAATATGGGAAGTGCGCATGCCCGCTCCTCGAGCTTCATCTCTCGAGGTGGTGCTTGTGGAGTTAACTCTTTTCACTCTACTTGGCTGTACCCGAACGATGAGGAGCTTGCACTATTTGCTCCCAGTGGCGTGACCCGACGATTTTGCAATGAAAAGGGTCAAACGAGTCAAAAGAGTTGCCAAGCCGCACTCACCTTAAGTAGGCCTCTGTGAAAAAACTCAACTGTTTCCGTCCTGCTTCAACTGCACGAAGAAAAAGAGACGGCGATAGTTGCTGGTGACGTGGCGTATGGCGGCCATTTTTGTTGTTCAGTCGGTTTAGTCCTTTGAATGTTTGGTCACGTGGAGGTGTGCGCATCGTCGGGTTAGTTTTTTTCGAAAATTTCGTAGTTTACCGGGTGAATTTCGTTCGGAAAAGTGTTCCTTGTAGTCTTGTGCGTCTGAATGGCACATTAACGTCGAATAAACTCGAAAAAATGTCGTTTTTTTTTCGACATTTTTGTGATGGTTTAAAATGGCGGCGATCACAGCAGTTAATAAACCTCAAGGTAAGCTATTTTCGTCACTATTTCCCATTAAAATTGATCTTTTTGACACCGAAATACTTATTTTAATTAAAATAGGTAAAATTATTCATAGGGCATTTTTAATGAGCAGACGGCAAACGCCATCTATAAAAAAGAAGAACTTTCCATCTAATAAGTAGGCTTTGTATAGATATCGGCTGTGTTCGTTTTTGTCATCTTTTTCGTCGATTTGCTCCGAAATTTTGACAGGCACGTGACTGGATTAGCTGCCGGATTACAATTTCACTAGTCGACACGAGTCGAGCTTTTCGTATATGCAACTTCAACATTATTTCCTAGTCGCATCCTTCGACTTCGAGTAATTAGAATCCCTATCCAGATAGTTTCAATTTACAAATTACGTGCCTGTCAAAATTTCGGAACAAGATGACAAAAACGAACTCAGCTATTATATAAGCAACGAAAATATATCTGTCTCGTTTTAAATTCGTAAGTTGAAAAGAGACAGAAATTATTACTGGTGTCGGTCATTTGAGGTTCTAATTGAGGAAAACCACCTATTTAAAATATGGCTTTTTCGACATTCCACTCAGTAGGTATTTATTAGAAGCCTCAAGGTAAGTCCAAAAAGAAAACGGTAAAGCATTTATTGATGCAATTTTGACTACAAAGATTCTCCTCTTTTGCAATTTTGGTCTCATATTCCGGTTTCTCAATAGCGAGTCACCTCCGGGTTGGTTTTAACTCCAGGATTAAACGTGTCCAGCTGCATTGCTACTCTAGAGCATTGAATCTGGAGTTATGCTTACTTGACTTGTTATTGAGAAACCGGCCCTAACTCCGAAAGCAAAAAAAAAACACGTTACGTTCTAGTATTCCTAATTCTTCGTTCTGAACAAACTGATTGAAATTACCTAAACTGATTGAGCCGAACCGTGTTCTTTTGATTTCGGATCACTTCACCCACCATACGCACCAAATGATTACAATCAGTTTATTCCTAGCCCCAAGTGATCGCAGAATTTTCAAAGTCCGTCGATTTTAATCTGATACTCGAAAAGAATGTGAGCCTGCTGGCACCCTACATTAAAACATCACCAATGGTCACCTGACGTCACACCTGTTTTTGTTATATTAGTTCTCATGCAGCGGAAAATCGCGTGGCGGATACGGAATTTTCAAAATTTGTCCCGCAGCGGGGAAATTTTAACTTTTTGGAGATATCGCAAAAAAGTTAAAAATTTTTACTATCATCTGTGAGATGCATGGTACGACATTTGATAAAAATCACTAAAATACCTATAATGTGAAATACCCCAAATGTAACTAAAAATCCACTTCCGGAATCTCGCTTTGTTCAGTTCGATTAGATCGAAAGAAAACCCCTATTATTATTCTAGTAATTAGAGAGTTCTCGTGCGGTGCAAATTTCAAATACCGTAATGTTATTTGACAAGTATGACTGTTCTACGGTATTAGCGTTAGCGGATGCCTTACCGTAACGCTATGCTATGTCAAGATTTAGGTTGCGTCCCATTTACGCCAGCAAGAACAGCAACTTCCAATAATTCTTCCATAAAAAACAGCTCAGGATAAATAAAAGTTGACAAACAAGCAAGAAAAGTTGGGTTAGATCACTCAATTCAGCTGTCAAAATGTAAACAGAATAACAGATTAGGGGATTTTTGTATCTTCGTGTCCGAGAACTATAAAATACCGTATTGTTAGCGGTACCGTATTAGCGTAGCATCTGACGCACGAGAACTTTCTATTAATCTGAGTAAAATCCAAACAAAGTGTAAAAAAATCCAAATATTTTACAATATAGGATTTTCACGCTATATTTAGGATGACGTCACATTTAGTAAATTTCTGCTGCCAACCTAACAAATCTAAAAGTACTTCTTAACGCATTTAGTATGGGAATTTCAGATGTTTCTGGTTGGCAACGGCGCGCGATGTTGCATGATTGATTTAAATGAACATTTTCAAATAAATAACGAGTGTCGATTCATTTCGTTATTTTTAGCTGTCAGTGGTCTTGATAATTCATTATGACATTCTGCATTCTGGTAAATTATAAGAAAACAAATAGGCATTGACAACATTCTCAGTGCTTGTTCTCTGACGTCATCCTAAATATAACCGTTGATATAACGTAAAAAACCTATACCTGATAAGTATTTTCTCGCGTTTCAAATGTTTTAAAACTTTTTTCAGAACTGGTTTAAAACAAGTTTAAAACAGTATCACGCATGACGTCATAATCTCAAAATGGTTTGAAAACTTCGATTCGATCGTATTTCGAGACGGTTTGAACCTGAGGTTTGAACCAATTTTGATGTGACGTCATGGGTTCATCGCTGTTTCAAAAAACCTGTTTTGAACCAGTTTCAAAAACGTAAACGCGAAAAAAACGCTCTATATAAATATTTTCAAATTTAAAAAAAAAAGAATCTATTTACAGCATTATACAGAGTGTTTCTTTATATATTTTCAATCCTAAGTCTGTTCTTATAATCACAAACCCATCAATCTGAGCGAAATTCATTTGGTTTGTTAGCGATTTCAACCAGTCAAAAACACTTTAACTGTGAGTACAGGACCACCTCTCATTCTAGAGATAAATCGGTAAAATCCGAAATTTGTATACAGAGTGGTTTTGACAACTGTATAGAGGACGGTATTTGAGGTGTTGGAACAGACCTTATAGCTGCTTACGATCAAACCATTTTCTGTTCTAACTTGAAGAAAATAACTAATAGCGGATGCCATTTTGCAGAATCAGTACAAAAAAAAATATTTTTATCCTTATGCTTTACATGCTTTTAGAAAAAGATGTACTCGGTGAACACTGATCGACAAATGGAAATCGAAAACGCTAACATAGGTCAGAAAATGGTCATCGTCTGTTGTAAGCAACCTACAAGCAACTTTATGCTTATATGTCTGAGTTTGTTCATACAATGCTGCCAATCAGGAATTATTATTTTGCAGAACTTTTCGTCTATTGGTCGAAAATATTTAAATTTCACAAGGCGCAAAAATATTGCAGATTTAAAGACGTCTTCAGACTGTCTTATTTGCTTAGTTCTAAACACGTTTTTAGGTAAACCTCTGAAAGACGTTGGCGTTGGGTTTTGTAACATACGACGTCTTCAAGATGTTTTTAAGACGCTAGAATGTTACAAAACACTTTGGTCACCTTTTGAAAAGTTCAAAAAAAACTTAAAATCCAATCCATACAGAATTTCCAAAACTATTCCTGGAGCGCTTCAAAATATTTTGGAACCATTTTTGAATGCCCCAGAACATTCAAAAACCGATTAACAATTTCCAAAAACCTACTTTAGAATCTCCGATGTTTATTCTCAAAACCAGGGATGAACAGCGTTCTCACGAGAACGATTGATCTGCCTTTGTCAGCGTTATGGAAATATAAATAAAGGTGACGAAGACAGAACCTTATTTATTCTCATGAGAACACTGCTTCCCTGTTTCGAGAATTAAGAACCCAGAAACATTTTAAAAAGCGTCAGAATCTATGGATTCAGGTTATAAAACGGCATTCAAAAAAGTTTAAATCTAAATCAGAATTTTCAGGAGCATTTTGGAACAATTGGGAAACTTCAGAGGTATTTTAGAATAATTAGGATTTAATTTAGAACTGGAAACATATTAGAACTCTTTTGAATCAATTTAGAACACTTTGGAACTTCAATATAAAGGGTTCTAGAATACTTAAAAATCTGTTTATTATAAATTACAGAAAATTTTCTAGAATGCTCCAGAACTCTTCAAGCCAAGTTGCAACACTTTAGAACTTCAATAAGCCATCTAGAACGTTCCAAAACCCTTTTCAAGAGCATTTTAAAAGGATTTAGTAAAAGATGAAAATTGACTTAAAAAAGGTTTCTTAATAAACACACAATAATTAAGTTTTACAATTTGATTTCAAAAATTATTATAAACAAACTTAAAACATATCACATGCAATAATGGAAGATTACATACTTATATAAATATGAGCAAAAATCACATGTCAAAATACAATAATTTATTATACAAATATTTGTAAAAAAAATTGTCATCAGTCCCCATATCATTTTACCGATACTAATTAAATTAAATCCATCATAAATTTAAATTTATAATTAAAAAATACTAATAATAAAATAATTATATTATAAAGCTATTAAAAAGATTATTGTCTGGGAGCAAGCTTAAAAATGAAAACGCCTATCTTATTTCAAAAACATCCAAGTAGGCCATGATTTTATCTTGTAAATATTTAACCACATTTTACTGTAGGTACTTTTTCATGATATAATAGGTAATGTTCTGAAGATGACCTTATTAAATATATGCGTTTAAAAAAGTCTACTTCATAAATTTTTGAAAAATACAAAAATTGGTCCAACTAACAAATTAATTCGAAGAAATGCTAATAATGGTTCAAGATTATAAATTCAAAAATTTAACTGCCAACAAGATATTTCCTGAAACTTGTTTAATGGGGCAATATATGGAGATAAAATTTTGACTATCAAATGAATATTCATCAGACAATATAAATTTAAGCATATACGGACGCAAATACATAATATACAAAAAAAAATATATCACACTTTTAATACAAATTAATGTTTTCATCATTATGAAAATCTATTGTTACTTCCAACAACACAATTTTGTCCACCATTTCTTCCTCTCGTTTTCGTGCCTCCGCTTCAAAGCAGTAATTATAGCTTCATCAAAAGCCTCCTTAAGATGATTGCAAGTTTTCGCAGAAGTTTCCACGTACGTGGAATTGAGTTTCCTTGCCAGCTCTCTGGCTCGATTCAAAGGAACTGTTGCTTGTCTCTAAAAAAGAATCAGTTTGAAATGTTATGTACTATAAGAATTAGTTTTTACTTGTCGTCTGAGATGATTTAAAGCCTCCAAGTCGTTGACTAAGTCAGCTTGGCAACCAACAAGTACCACGGGTACTCCGAGTCTGGTTAGTTCATCTGCCCATCGTTCCCAAGCTGATTTGAATGATGAAGGGTTGACCACTGAGAAACAGAGCATGAAAACGTCAGCGCCTGGATAGCAGAGACGTCTGAGTGGTCCACCGACGTTATCCTAAAATGAAATAGGAATATATTTGATTCGAAACATCGACTCAGTAAAAGTAGTACCTAGTAGGAGTAGTAGAAGTACCCAGGCAATTTTTGGTTAATTAGAAATGTTCAAAATTAGAAAATATTTGAGCTATCAAACTCAATATTGCATGAATTTATACAGAATTTTTGGTGATTTATTTTGATTTTCAATTCTTCTGAGTGCCTTTTTTCATATAGAATCCTGCTCCAAATCTCAGAATAATTTAGTGTAAGTATGGGGTTTGGAGGATCTCAAAGGACCATTATGATACAAAATCTCAACCCAAAAACAATTGAAATTTCATCGTTTTAGTACTGAAGTAGTATGATTTAAATTTTGGAAAACTTTGACAGGTCATAACTTTTTTTCTATTATAGATAGAAAGCTGAAACTTTCATTGAATCAAGGGACTACAAGACCTGAAAATTTCAGCTCATTTGCACTTATAGTTCCTGAGATAAAATCGTGTTAAGCAATTTGGGGTGATTTATCAATTTTTCAATTTTTCTGAGTGCCTTTTTTCATAGATTTCGGCTTCAAATCTGAGAATAATTTAGTGTATGAAGTTTAATGTATGTTGATTGACCATTAGGATATAAAATTTCGACAAAAAAAATTTGAAATTTCATCTTTTTAGTAATACTTAACCAGTATTGTAATAGTATATTATGCAATGATCATGTAATGGCCATTTCATGAGAGTTGCATACACTATTTTTTCTACTTGCATTAATAAACGAAAAACATATTTATTTCATAAGAATAGTAAACTTGTCAACTAGTGATAATTCTTGACAACTTGACAATTTTAAAAATTAAGATCTAGATGTCATTTGAGCATAAATTCTGTACTCGATTTATTAATTTTTTGTTGTTTCTTCTGGTAAATACTAATAGGAACAATTCATAATTCCTAAGCAAGTCTGTTATTTTTATAAAAACATTGTTCATGTTGAAAATACTCGATTTCAGTGGCTGAAAAATCTGTATCATAATGAAAATCTATATCATAATGAAGTTCATTATGAAACAGATTTTAGGCGTATTATGAAAACGTCAGTAGAAAAATAACTCTTACGTTACAAGTGCGTTTATAAACATGATTACAATAACGAGTGAAAGATTAGAACGACGAGGTCGTAGACCGAGTCGTTCTAATCACACGAGTTTTGTAGTCATGTTTAAACGCACGTGTGATGTACAACGTTTTATCTACAGAGCGAAAAATAAGAATGTTTTTTCAATTATTTTCGTTTATTAGTAGTTGTCTACCTTCATTTTACCTTTACAGGTTTACCTTTGACATTTGTCAAATCACCAAAAATAGTTGTGTTATAGATTCATAACCTCGTCCATAACACCACTAGTTGTGTTATGAATTCATAACCTAGTCTATAACACCACTAGTTGTGTTATGAGTCTCATGACACAACTCAAATACTAAAAAAATAGTTATGTAAAAACGTCATAACCAAACGCTTGTAGATAAAGCAATTTTTAGTACTGTTAGTAATGTCGGTACTGTTTATGTATTTCCAGAACAAATATTAGTACTGTGAATATAATAATCTTTGTTATTGTTAAGTGTAAATTGTGTACAAAAATCACTGCTGATGGTTAACTTTCATTGACAGCTCTTGTTTACTTGTTTTTTACCTCCATATTTTTTGAGCCTTATGCACTATGCATTGGTAAAATGCCAATTGTTTGATCGAATGTGATGAAACTAGGGAGTTTCACATGGCGGACTCCGTATATAAAAGCGTTTCCCATGGAACATCAATATCGGAAATGATAAAGAGATACGAGGGCTGTTGAATTAGAAAAAAGTTGCCATTTCCATCAAAAATATATTTTCGTTGCTGCCAAATTTCTATTAATGTCCGAGATACAGGGTGATTTGTGAAAAACACCTAGAACTTTTTTTTTTACAAATCATCCTGTATCTCGGAAACTGATAAAAATTTGGCAACAACGAAAATAAATTTTTAATCACCTTCGAAAATGGGAACTTTTTTCTAATTCAATCGCCCTCATATCTCTTACCGTTTACGATATACCAATGGTATTTTTGACACCCTGTAGGTATATCGTTTATTAATTCCTAAACCCGTTTTACAGAGAGGCAGCTCACTCACCACAATTTGTACATCGATTTCGGAAATCGCAGGGGATTTCGACAATTTTCAAGGGATTTCGAAACATTTCGGATATTCGACTTTTATCGCCGTACCACCACTAAGGATTTTGAGGATTGTGTTAAATTTATTGGTATTTCAGAAGGATTTCAGTTGGGATTTCTAAAGGATTTTGGTTGGGATTTCGGGATTTCGTAAGGATTTTGGATAGGGTTTCCATACGTCCGGATTTACCCGGACATGTTTGGGTTTTTAGGGTGTCCGGCCGGAATTCGGAACAGTGTCCGGAAAACTCGGAGATACCCAAGGATGATACATACTACTACCCATAAGGCCTGTGTGTGACAAAAGAGTAACAAATTCCCCCTCGCCCAAATACCAGTTGTGACGTAGGTAGCATGTTATTTCTCGCCTTGGCGTAAGCTTTTTAAACAGCTGATGACGTCGGAAATGGTTTCACACCAATATGTCGGCAACTAACCAAAAACAAGTCCGATAAGCACTCCTTAAGAGTGTGTATTCTCCTTGGGAGATACCTACCAAAAATTCGAAATTTTAATTTTGTATCCTGGGGTGGCAAGTAAATTGTATCCTGTATCCAATTATACGGAAGCCCGGTCATGCAATCTGACTTCCGAGTTCTTAGTTCATAGTTCTGACGTCACAACTCGGAATTTTTGATTTACTACGTCACAACCCGGAATTTCTGATTAACTACGTTATTAGAAGTCCGTTATCCTTAATAATTGCTGAATTGTAACCTAAAAATTCCGTCCGGTTGGATTGTTTTTATTTGCATTTGCGATGTGATTTTTACCAAAAAAAAACTGCATAGCAAAACCTTAAACATTCTAAATGAAGCAGATAACCATCATTTTAGAGGCCTGTGTCCTCTACTGGCTCTCAGATCTTTAAAATAATTGATCCACCATCCACCAATTTTTACCAAGCCGTCTCATTTGAGACCATCAACATTCAATTTTTTGATTAGATATAATATGCTCTCGCCTTATTGTATAAAGCTTTTTTGGCGTACAAGGTGTATCGGCGTGAAAATATCAAAAATAAGGTTTGTGATAGAGCAACCATTGAGAGCAACACACATATCTGTCCCTAAATCAGTTCTCATACAGATTCACAGAAAAAAAATATTGAAAGATTAACTAGTAGTAGGAGAACAAGCGGTTCATCCGACTAACCCGTTTCCCACAAAGCTAGAAATTTTTGAAATAATGTTGTAAAGTGATAACGTTCTGGAAGGCATCTCGTAGTTGCGTCATAATCCCTCAAGTGTGACAATCAAAGTTATTATAGGGTCAATCATTTAATACCTGCTTCCACAAGGCTGAAATTATGAGGGAATATTCTTTTATTCATTTAAAAAGTATATGTTAATAGCCAGCCTATTCTGGCGGTTGCGAGTGTCTGCCAGAGGAGTATATAATAGTCATGAGGATGCTCGATGGGAGTGCGAGCGAAACGGACATACGAGTTCCAATATCATATCAGAATAAGAGGATACGATATGACTACTATACAATGTGTCCAAGATAAGGAGGGCCAGTATGGGGATCTGATGATATGGTGGCTCAGAGACGAAACGTCTGATTACATATTTGATAGTGTCATATTGTAGAGGAGGAAAAGTGGCAATGACGAAGTGCCCTTCATTTTGAAGCATCTCTTCAAATAAGGTCAGGAAAAATTAAATCGTTTTGGGCGAATTTCGGGTTTTTCCGGATATCTCCGGTATCAATCGGTATTTTTGAAATATCAGGAACATTCAGAACGCTATTTTAATGAGCACAAAATTGCGCATTTTTTTCCTAATTTGAGCAACGTCGTATCTCTTACTGTTTCCAAGAACCCCATACTGGCCCTCCTTATCTTGGACACATTGTATACTCGTACTTCGTACTACTATATTTTCAATTTTCACCAAACTAGCAATAAATAAGCATTTCCGAGTTATGACGTAGTAAATCAGAAATTCCGAGTTGTGACGTCAGAACTATAAACTAAGATCTCGGAAGTCAGATTGCACGACCGGGCTTCCGTAATTTTGATACAAGGAGAAATAGGAGAATACACACTCTAAGGAGTGATTATCGGTCTCGTTTTTGGTAATCGTTGCCATATTGGTTTTCAACCATTGCCGACGTCATATCTAAGTCGTCAGCTGTTTAAACAGAAACAGCTTACGTCAAGGCGAGAAACGCCATGCTGCTAACGTCACAATTAATTGTTTGGCTTGGAGAGGTAGGGGGGGATTTGTTACACACAAGCCTTATGAGGATAGACCATCCTGTAGTAGTAGTGTGTATCATCCCTGATTTTGATACACAAGTGTTATTATATTTTTGTCTCTTGTCATTGGTACCTTATATTTGTCATTATGTCTTCAGTCTAACGGAAAAAATGCTCAAAGCATATCTATTAATTTTTTTTTGCAAAAAATAAACAAAATTCATCTATATATATAAAAATCAAAGTTCGCGGGGTATTCAGATATGCGCTCCAAAACCACTTATCCGATTACGATGAAACTTTGGTAGGTTGTTATGGCCATCCCAAGGAAGGTTTGTGGATAGGTAACGCATCTCGAAAAAAGAAAATAATTTTGAATTAATTCATAATTTAATTGTAAACAAACTCATTCACATTACATAACAACATAACCCAACTTTTTTTGACAGCATGAAACAACGTTGTCATATTTCATTTATTTAGGCTTGCATTCAACCGACGTAACTTTATTATTTTTTGAATTCAAGAACGGCTGGACCGATCTTGAAGTAATACCACATATCTCTATATAAGATGAATTCGATTGACCCAGAT